GTAGTTGCGTCGACAAAAGGGAGCTTTCCCAGCTCAGATGTCAGGGAAGGCAGAGTTGGTTGTCTAAGCTTTTTAATGCGAGAAAAGAGCTTTGCAAACGTGCCAGTTGTGGCGGCCTGTGTCTGCTCTTGAGTTTACCATACACTAGGACGTTTCCCCTGTCGTCTGCAGCCAATCAAATGAAATGACGCGCATTGATTGGCCTCGAGCTTACGCGTGGCTCAGACAGCGAGTCGAACGGGAGCTTGAATGGGACAGGACAAAAGGGGTATCCAACAACGATTCATCAAGCGCGTGCGGGGAGACTGTCACGCGCGAGTATCCAGGGTTTTGCAGGCGAAGACACTATGAGTCACTGAAGTGGTGCTGAGTTCGGACTGCTACAAGCTTCCTGGTACACGAATATAATTATCCATATATGATACTTAAAGAGCCTATGGCTTCCCCTCAGTTTCATTCTCTGTTCGAGGTGGGCAGCCGCATGATCAGGTTTCTACGTTCCGATTTTAGACCCAAGGCTGGGGGGACAGGCTTAAGTGACTGGGCTCCAACTATACGTTTCCCGCCGCTGCATACTCTTGCATCTTGACATATAAGGATAAGGCATTTACCGCGAAGCACACGTCGGCTGTCTGACAGCAGCATTGACTAGCCGTCTTGAGGGCATCACACATTTCCACGTTTTCCCTATATGTTCACTATTTGGAACGCGTATATGTATGCTCTGAGTTCTACTCTTTTTTTATGTGATTTCATACAACTGCCCATTTATTGGTGACTTCTGTGATTTCTGCGTCCCCGCGCGCACACCTAGGTATGCACCACCAGGGCATTTTTCGTGTATCAGGCAGCCAGGCGGAAATCCTTGCCTTCAAGACGGCCTTCGAGCAGGGCGAGGATCCGCTGATAGGTCACTGTGATGCTCGGGACATCAATTCGACCGCCGGTCTACTAAAGCTCTACTTCCGTGAACTTGGCGAACCGCCCTTCACCAATGCCGTCTTCATGGACCTTGTCAATGCTGTGCGCGAACGTAAGTGACCCTACTCACATGCACACCTTTCCAGGCGGTCTGATGTGTCTACTTGGCGCGTGCCAGCATGGTCAGAAAATATCGCCTACTTGATTATAGTCAGTAGTATGTTGTGCTGTCTGGGTTATTCCCTA